GGCCGGGTATGCGGGCGCGGCGCTGGTAGCGGGTTCCTGAGCGCCATCCGCCGCTGCCGAGTTTGTCACCTGGGCCCCGCGCTTTCGCCCGGTGCTGCCCACCCTCGCCCGCCGCTATGGCCCTGGTGCGGGACGCCGAGCCGGCCTCAGGGCCCTCCCGCTGGCTGCCCACGCACGTCCAGGTGACAGTGCTGCGAGCCCGCGGGCTGCGGGGCAAGAGCTCGGGCGTCGGCAGCACCAGCGACGCTTACACGGTGATCCAGGTGGGCCGCGAGAAGTACAGCACGTCGGTGGTGGAGAAGACGCAGGGCTGCCCCGAGTGGCGCGAGGAGTGCTCCTTCGAGCTGCCGCCCGGCGCCCTGGACGGCCTGCTGCGGGCGCAGGAGGCAGACGCGGGCCCGGCGCCCTGGGCTGCGGGCTCGGCCGCCGCCTGCCAGCTGGTGCTCACCACCATGCACCGCTCACTCATCGGCGTCGACAAGTTTCTGGGCCAGGCCACCGTGGCGCTGGACGAGGTCTTCGGCGCAGGCCGTGCCCAGCACACACAGTAAGTAGGGGATGCGGGGTCACAGCAGCGGTTGAAGGTTCCTTTGGGTGGGGACGGCGGGGATCAGGACCCCGAACCTCGGTTTGGACTCTGAGCCCCTTGTCTCGTGCTCAAGCCGCAAACCGACACACAGAAGTTGGTTCTTAGCATTTTGGTGTCCTCCTAGTCTCCCAGACAGGCTCAGCTGGGGGGCTGGAGCTCAGGTGGGTCCCTGGGGAATTTGAGTGGTAACCAAATGTTAGACATAGACTATCAAGGAAAGTTAGTAGAGGGGTTCTGAAGCTTTGGGGCTGTGGGAAATCTTAAGGCCTCCAGGCGTGTCTTCTTTCCTCAAAGGGGAGGGGACCTGAGGCAATGCTCTGAACCTAGCCCATGCCAGAGTGGAGAGGCTGCCTTTCCCTGTGGGGTAAGGAAAGTGAGGTGTTACCCTCCAGGGTGAGTGTGGAACTGGGGCCACCCCACCAAACCTGGAGGTTGTTCCAGACATCTGCCTCTTGCCTATTCTGTGATGCCTTCCACCTTCTAGAGCTGCTACCCCCCTCCCCTTCACCCCGATCCTGTGTCCAGGGTCCATAGTGTGAGGAGAATAGGAGGACCTTTCCAAGTAAAGGAGGGAAAGACTTAGGTCAGGCAGGCTTTAAGTGACCTGCCTGCCCTCTCCGGGTGGAGGCAGTTTACTTCACAGCAATAGATCATCTCCCAGTCACATCCCCTGAGAAGAGCCAGCAGGTTTTTTTTTTTTTTTTTTCCAATCATTTATTTTGGCAGCATGTAGTTTTCCCTGTGTTAAGATCACGGCTTCAGACTTGAAGCACCATTTCCTGTTTGGGCTTAGGTGGGATCTGGAAGCCAGTCCTCGGTCCTCAGCACCTGCTGTGGGTCACTCCAGTGGTTAACTTGGGAGTGATGGGGGTGGGGTGGCAGCAGGGGTGTGCCCTAGGTAGGGAGAGGCACCCCAAGGCCTGGTGGGGGGAATAGTACCCACTGAGTAAATCTAGGAAGGCTTGCTGGAGGAGAGGGATGAACCTTGCATCTGGTGCAGACACGAAGAGATAGCAGGATTTGGGTAGAAAAGGGTCTGACCTTGAATGTTTTTCATAAGGAAGGGCCTTCCTGGCTGGCTGTGTGCTGCTTGGGGTGGGGAGTGGGTTAGTGCAAGGGCAGGTTCCAGGCAGGGCTGTGACCTGGCCCCATCCACCCCTCCTCTGGCCTTCTCCCCGCCTTCCCTCATGACTTGCTGTTTGGTTGCTGGGTGTGGGATCATGTGGCGTCGCTTGGCCCTCGTTTGGGTTTTTTCCTCCCCTTTTCTGTCCTCTCCCTCCTTACTGGCTCAGGGAGCCCAAGGGGGTGGTTGTGGACTGGAATGCTCTGCTGTGGGTCTCTTGGTCCCCTTAGCCCTTACTGCCTGTCCCCACGTCACTCCACCCCTTCCCCCAGTCCTTCACCCTCCACTCAGAGCTCCCTTGCCTCAGTTGGTAGGTGACGTATCTGGTATGTGTTTCAGGGAGAGAAGGGGAACTGGACAGAAAAAAGTCTCTAGCTTGCGGGGAGGAGCTTCTTTGTCCCCCCCCTCTCCCAGAGTTCTTGGCCTCCAGCTCTTCCTTCCCTGAACTGACCCAGCCTGCAGATCCAGGTGGGTCTGTTTGCAGCCAAGAACAGTGCATCTGGGAGAATTGGACATGTGCAGCCCCTTGATGTGAATGGGAGCCTTAATTTACTTTATAGAAGTCATCTTTTCCGCTGGTATTGCTCCACACCCACCTGGCTGCCTTTCCTCTGATGCATTGACCTGGGTTATTTTTGGAGCCTGGAGGGGGCAGCAGTGGGGTGGAGCACCTAGTAGGGTGGGCAGAGGACAAGTCCTGAAATTGGAGTGCTACTCTAGCTCACCAGACTAACAGCATGTCACCCTGCTCTGGCCCCCTCCTCTGGCTCTAATGGCCACTCCTGGTGGTATTTCCTGAGGCACTTTGGCATAGGCTGCTGAGACTGCCTGTTGTCTAGTCAGGACAGGGCCAGGTGGAAAGACCTGGTTGTATCTTCGTTAGCTCTGGATAATGATGGGAAAGAAGTGTTCATGTTTAACTGTAGGATCCAGCTTTGGTGGCCTCAGCAAGGACCTGTGGTGGTCCTCTGTCACCTCGTGGCCCTGTGTTACAGAGACAACCTGACTGGGAAGGGCAGGTTCCTCGTTAAGAGACTGGAGTTGTGCAACAATAGACCCCAGTCTTAAACCTGCCACCTTTATGGCAAGTTCAGGAAACTCTTGGAGCCTCAGATTTTTCATCTGTAAAATAAGGGATAATTTATACCTTCCCAGGGTTGATGCTCGGGATGAAGTGAGAATGTGGGTGAAGTACATAGTGTAGGCCCTGGGTGTGGTAGAGGGTAAGTGGACAGCAGTGACGGTGGAGGGAGGTTTTGGTGACATTGTCTGGCACAGTGCTAGACTAGAAGACATCCCCTGCTGTGGAAAAGCTTCTCATCTGCTAGGGGAGATAGTCAAAAACCTAGAGCCTGGGAAACCCTTGGGACATGGGAGGTGGTGGGACTATGGGAATTCTTAACCAAAGGAGCTCGCCTTTCCAATCCTCCGTCATTCTCTGCTGCTAGAGGCTTGAGAGCCAGGGTTGGCTTGGGAAACAGCTGTGGTCCCAAAGCCAGGCTCAGCTTTGGCTGTGGCTCTACAGCTCTCCTCCCTGGCAGTCTTGCTTGGGTCTGCTGCTGTCCTGGGGGAAGGCAGGACAGCACAGTACTGGAAAATCTGGGGACAGGGTTTTATTCCCAGTTTTGTATTACTAGTAGGCAGGCTACAGAACCTGTTTCCTCATTTCTGAAAAGGTCATGGTTCGTAGTTATCGTGAGTTGCACAGATTGAATAAGATACCATCTGTAAAAACCTTAGTGTAGTTCCAGACACATAGACGCTTTCAAAGTGGTAACGTTGAGTTAGTCTGGCGCCCTGCCTCATGTGCTGGTGGTGGCTGAAGTTCTAGGTGTCCCAGTCAGGTGGCACTCTCCAAGGTGAGGGGTTTCACTGGAGGCTTCCAAATAATAAGGGAAAGTTCTCAAAACAGAATTTAATGTGGTACACAAGGACACTTGATGAGACCCTACACGGGTCTTCAGGGTTCCGATGGGTCTGAAAATCCTGAGTTGCCTCTTTGGTAACTCCTTTCTGGCTTTTCCCAACAACATCCCTCCTGGGATTCTCCACTGGGTGCTTGTCTGGCTCCCAACACACACATGATTCTCTGTTCCCTGTGGAGGGAACATTTGGACCCTTCTGGCTGTTATGGTATTGATGTGGATTGCGGCCCTAGGCAAATGTCCGAGAACTTGTGTCACACAGGGGTGGGGTGGAAGAAGCAGCAAAGGTTCTGTAGTGAGAAGCTAGAGAATCTGCCATTTGGGTAGGGAAGCCCTGTTCTTGGCCTTCTGGGAGGGCTGATCTGCGTGTGTTTGAAGGGAGGAAGGGAACAACCCTGCTTTGTGGAGCCCTATATCTGCCTTCTCCCTCAACCTGTTAAGGAGTGAAGTGGTCCCAACTTGTAAAGCCTGGAGTACAGAATCCTACTGGATTAGTGGCTAGAAGCTGATGACTTGGAAAAGCTGAAGCTGTGGCTTCCATTAGGGTTGGGACCAGTTGCCTTTTTTCATCACAAAGACCATGCTAATTGTGTTCCTTAAAAAGCACTGTCAGCCCCTGCCCAGACTGTGCCGTTATGGTTTTTTGGGGGAGAGGGAAGCACCGGAGGGGTGTGGCTTTGGAGGACACAGGTTTAGGACTAGTTCTTCTGCCTGACTGATCATAACATTCTGAGCCCTCTTTAAAGAGTTGTTTTGGGGCCCTGGGAAGCACCTGAGGGGAAAGGCAGCTCATTAGCCAAAGGGTGCCTGGGGTGGGGTGGGGGGTGGTGTGGTGGTGTGGGGTGGGGTGTCTTTAGGGGATTCTTCCCATCCTGGTGGTGTGGGGTGGGGTGTCTTTAGGGGATTCTTCCCATCCTTTAGCTTCCAGGAGACCTGCATGTAACTGTGGTGGGCAGGTGACGCATGACCCCATAGCCTTTTGTCCCTTGATGCCAAGGTGTGACCTTGTTCTTTAGACAGTCTCTGGATTTGGCTCCTGCTCCAACCCCTGGCCTGGAGTCCCGGCCTCTAGGGCTGCTGGGGAGGGGTGTGGCTGCCTTAGGAACCAGTCATAAGGACACAAAGGGACCGTCTTTTGGTCCTGGGGCCATTTTTATTTGGGATTGCTGGAGCAGCAGTGTCTGGGGGAGTGGGGCGGGGAGGAAGTGTGACTCTTCAGTCGGTCTGAGCAGCTCCTCATGGAACAGTGGCTTCCTCTTCCTTTTACATCTGCCCCTGGCCCAGAGCCCTGGGCCTGTGTCAGCCCCATCTCTGGCCTGCTTCCCTCTCCCTGTGGGCAGCTGGGCATGAGGTGCAACTCAGCAGAGCTGCCATTCCCGGCAACCTTGAGGGCTGCCCTTCTCTCCCGACAGCAGCTGCCCACCCCTCTTGTTATTGCTGCCGCCCTGGTGATGTGACTTGCCTTGCTGCTAAGCCTCTGGTCTGGCTTTGTCCAGATGTTTCCCTTGCCCGTCCCACCCCGAGCTGGAACAGATGATTAACACAATGTCAGGAGCTGTGGTTGCTCTGTGGAAATCAGTCCTCTTTTTCTTCTTCTTTTCCCTCTGTAGAATGCGTATCCCTTCTCTGTCACAAGTGATAAAAATGTGTCCCCAGCAGGAGTCCTCTGTGCTCCCGGCAGTCCTATGGGGGAATCTGGTGACCTTGTTCTTTCTGAGCAGGGCTGTGGTTGTTTCTTCAGGAAGGAGAGGGGACTTGGCAGGGCACATGGAGACTGTGTAGGGCTGGGCCAGGACTCTCCCAGCCTGCAGTGAACAGGGGATCTGAGTGGGGAAGCCACGGGGGTTGGGGGAGGTTGTCGGGGACACCTTGACCTTCGGTTCACCTGGGAGGGGAAGCACAGCCCTTGC